CACAGAGTAGCTCCTTTTATTGCCTGTTCTTCTTGATCATCCACTTGTGCACTTTATGCATGCAAATAGATGGGTTATCACTACTGATTCAGTAATTACTCCTTCAGGTTATCCAATTTTCCCTCATCTCACTTTCTTTTTAACTGACTTTTTAAGGGCAATTTAACCATTTCTTCAATATCTGGTTACAAAGCAGGTTTGTCAATGACCTCTGGTCTCTTCCTCAGCTATTTTCCTTTTTTTTCTCTGGTTTTTATGGACCTTTTCCGAGGCTTTTTCCTCAATTGTCCTCCTCATCCAATTTCCAATTTAGACTGGAATATTTGTTTGGCTCTTTGGGATTTCATATATTCCCTGTATCATCTCTTTTTTAAGATTCTTTTTCTTGCTTGCAGGAGACGTTGCTCTAGCATTTTTGCCTTGGATGTCTCCTGCACTTTCTATCACAGGAATAAGTTAATTTTATTCCTGTACTGATCCTTCCTCCCCAAAACTTGGTCTGCCTGGAAGTGTGATCAGATGTTTTCTCCAACCACTCTTCCTTCCATTTCATTTCTGTAGGATCACTCTGACTCTGACCATCTTCTTAGTCCTGTTTGATCATTTTCGTGTTATCTTGTCATACTGCTTCAATATTAGGCAGTCGACATAATATTTTCTTGGCATGGTATTCCTATTCTTTTAGTGACTTATCCCCTTCCATATTGACTAGGTGTATTATACAACATATTAGGCTTGTTTAGTCTTCCATGAAAGAGGATATCTTTTGTCTTTTTCATGTTACCTTCCATCAAGTTCATTATCTTACAGTTACTCTTGCCTCTCACCATAACTGCCTTCTGGATAAGGTGTTGTAGACAGGGATGTGGATGACCACAGACACATTAATGTCCCACTGTTTCATCACATTGCAGTTGCATCTGCCTTTGGGTTTTGTCTACTTCCATTTGCCATTTTTTAATCTTCTTAGAGACTCTTATGAGGCTAGTTTTTGTTCTTTTGTTGTTGTTTTTGATTTTCAGCTCTCTCATTATCAAATTATATCTTGTTGTCTCCATAATGGAGATGATGGAACCCATGTGGCTGTGGATTCTTCACAGAAAATACTTCTCTCTTCTTATATCCATATCAAGTAGGGATAACAGAAAGTGTTAAGCCCATATACCCCTGTTCAATGCCCATTGTTAAGATGGAGTTTTCCACAAGATTGTTCAACAGTATATTTCTATATTTCACCTTCCAGGTTGTACTTCATGAAAAACAAAACACAAAGAAAACAAAACATGAACAGCACCAGATGTGTGCCAACCCTCACACCTGACTAATACTTGCTGCCTCTATTCGTAGTAACTCATTGCACAGTATATCAATATGGGACTTTATGGTGGTACTGAATTCCTGTTTAGTTCATGCACCTCTGTTGTTTTCTCTCCTGTTATTACAGGAGAACTCTTGCTTTTCAAGTCTCAAGCCACTTAGGAGGTTGACATAGAGTTCCCCTTTGGGTCAGTGTAATCCTACTGGTATGAAACTAAATGATGTACACCTCGATTGAAAATAGGACTGAGGGGTTGCCTGGAAATGTATTGCAGCCCACTCCACTACACTATGGACTATTGTGGTTTGGTCATGCATTCTCTTCGGGATGTAAATGAGTTGGGATCCTTACTCCCTTCACTGGTTTCTTCTTTCACTAAAGTATTTCTTCAATACTGTATGACCAGACTTATGTTCCTTAACCACACTATACTCATGCTTAACTGAACAACTGAGAAATATTGGTTGGTTGAGCAATCTTACATTTCACCCATCTATGTGACACTTTAGCAGATGGTTCTTTTGGTCTACCAACTTTATTGAGCAAAAACATTAATGTGGTTTCCCATTGAGTGGGACCTGGCATGGCCGGGTGGTTAGGGTGTTTGACTCGCAATCTGAGGTTTGAGGGTTCGAATCCTTGTCACACCAAACATGCTCGCTCTTTCAGCCATGGGGGTGTTATAATGTAATGGTCAGTCCCACTATTCATTGATAAAACAATAGCCCAAAAATTGGTGGTAGGTGGTGATGACTAGCTGCCTTCCCTCTCGTCTTTCACTGCTAAATTAGGAATGGCTAGCGCAGATAGCCCTTGTGTAGCTTTGCATGAAATTCAAAACCAAACCTATTGAATGATACCTCACTAGGCTCCACCTTTAGTGGTTGGCATGCTTCATGAACTTTTCTTTTTCTCTTTCTGACACAATGTTTCATAAAGGAGCTAATCTTCTTAATATCTATATCTGCACAAGCCCTTCCTCCAACTTCTCATTGTGGTTTTCTCTCTTTGATGTGATGAGAGGTGAGTATACATTTCTGAAGTTAATATATTCCTTATGGAATATTGTATTTCTGATAGATACTGTCAGGTTTTTATAGGGCTGGATTCCTCACAGTAGGTGTCAGTGTCTTGTTGGTGATAAATTTCAACAATAAATGGACAATGCACAATCCTCTTTTTAAAAAATAATATATTCAAAACAAGTCAAACATGTATACAAGAATTTGCTACTCAATTGGTCATCAAAGTTGTATTCATAGCTTTTAATAATTGTGTCTTTTTTCATCAAAGTCTATACAGGCAGGTTCAATTACTTTAGAACACCCTTTGACAAGACAAATTATATCTTCTCTCTTTTGTTATCACAATACAATCAGTGATCAATTCACTTTAGAAATCACTCATTATGACTAATATCACACTCTAACTTCACATTTTTCACTTTTACTTTCACTAACTAATTTACTTTTCTGTATCTGCCTGTATTTAGAACACACTACAGAAAATACTAGAAATATCTAGCCCTCTAGTAACAACAATATTACACATAACGAGAAAACGTAGAAGCTTCAAGTAAGATTATGTCAACAATATTACAAAAGCCTAGTACAACAATTACACTGCAAACACAATGTATGACTCATACAGAGTTACATAACAAAACTTGTCATAACTATCTCTTTTTAAATAATTAACTTTTAATACTCTTGTTATGAAAATTAAATAATCATTAAATAAATAAATCCTCATTTACCTGTTCCCTAGATATCATATATTGTGACTTGCAAATATTTAAAGCCAAGCAATTGTGAAGAAGCCTGGTAGCAATAGAAAACAACTCATTATTGGCTATTTTAAAACAATCAGCAAGAGTACCAGCCTTTGTAGTAAAAGTCATATCATCGTCATACAGATTTCAAGTATCATACCATAATTAAATCATTTACATAAATAATAAATAAGAGGGGGCCTATGATTGAGCCTTGAGGAACCCTACAATGAAAATATGGAAAAGGGACTTTATTCTGTTAATTGTGGTGTAACATTGCCTATTTAAGCCTATAGGTAAGCTTTAAGAATATCATAAATATTACTAAACTTAAAATAAGACCGAAAGTGCTTGAGTTTTGGGTCTTATTTGAAGTTTATTACACTTTATATGTGATCCTTTGTGCTAACTCTATTATCAAGATAAACATTACTACATAGACCATAATGAGCACATTTATAAAGTGAAACTGTATGATTTTCCTCATCAAGAATGAGCCTTTGTTCCTATGCTAATGCTCCTGAGGATTCCTGCACATGGAGGATGTGTTGTCACCCTGTTTGTACAGGGCTGTAGTCTGATGATGATTACATCATAGGCTGGTGCAATACAAGTTAATACATATAAGAATGAGAGTTTCATTCAAAGCTTGTAGTGTGCACAAACATTTTCAGGTAAGGAAAATGTTAACATTCAATCTTCTTTACTTGCTTTGATATATATATATATGTGTGTGTGTGTGTGTGTGTGTACATTATCTTGCTTAGAGTAAAAGTTGCTTGCACACTGACATAAAATTCTTTGTGATACCAAACATTAGATTAACTTTAGATCTAATGTATCTTATATTATTAATAGGTTTTGGAAGGTAAACCTCAGTTTTTGGAACTTGCTGGAAACCTTGTACCAGTTACTAAGGCTGGGGAACATCTTACTCTTAACTTCCAACCTTTCAGAGAAAACAGATTACCATTCATTGTTCGTGTCAAAGATCCTGATCAGGATCCAATTGGTAGGATAGCCTTTATGAGAGAACCAAGGGTGGGCCGTGGTGAGCCTCCACAAACTCCCATATGTAACTTGAATATTGCATTACCTGATATTTGTAAGGTAGGAGAGACTATTGCTTTTAAGTTGTATGACACTTTTATGTGAAATATATTAATTTAAAAGAACATTTTCGTATGTGCTCTTAATTCTTAGGTATATTACACATTGTAAGACTTGTTAATCAAAAATTATATTTTATGATAGCTTAAATCCAAGCCTACAGGATCCACAATGAAATAGTATTTTGTTTCAAGTACTTGTTAAAGATCAGGCCTTGATTTATTTGCTAGAACTTTCAGATTGTCCATAATTCACCCATGCAAACCAATCAACAAGTACTTTTTGTTCATCTTGTAGTATATTCAGGTAAAACTGAGTTAACCTTAGAGCAGTGAGATAAGTCTACATAATAACAAGAAATTCAACAAAACATTTATTACAAAATAATTCTGAGTTCACTGATTCAACTTAGTTTGAGAAAGAAAAAACATAATGAATATGTAATTTTTTCAAACTCACAAACACAATCAAAATAATGTGTATTGAACATAGAACAGCACCATGGGTATCTGCAGGATTGAGCAGGGGGAGGGCACTTGCTCCTCCTGGAATTTCAGAAGAAAATTTATTTAAATAATATATTTAAAAAATGTATTAAAATTAATACTATTTAAATATAAATGACGAAATTAGGATTACATAAATAAGCCATTATCAGCCAGAGCATTGCATTCAAACTTCAAGGCAAATGACTTGTGCTTTGTGATGGTTTGCTCCCACCTGGAATAAATTCTGCAGATGCTCATAGACGATACTTTTATTGTCTGATTATCACTCTAAGCTCTCTTAAGAACTTATTAAGATGTTTAATAAGAATTAGTTAACATTACATGTTAAACTTCAGGAGGATATTGCTATTTACAAAGAAAGGACTTAAAACTTCACTTACCAAAGTGTGAGTTTGAACACTAAAAGAGAGAGAGAGAGAGAGCTAATCAAGAGATCATATTATTATATACTATATTCTCAGGACATGTGCACCACCTAAGTCACTGTTGGCCAATCTCTTTGAAACATAAGTAAGGTTATAACTTCAAGATATCACTTGGCCTATTGTTGGAGAACACAGTTGTTTACTTCTTTCACAACATACAGCATTACAGCCATATTAATTATTAAGAAAGGAATTAATCTTCACTTATCAAACTGAGGACTTGATCATGTGAGAGAGAGAGAGAATTATCCAAGATTGTAGTATTATATACCAAACTTTATAATTCTATATTCTCAGGATGCATGAACCATCTAGGTCAATGTTGATCAATTCTATTGAAACTTAAAGAAGGTTATAACCTTGAAATATTACATGACATACTACTGAAGAACACAGTTATCTACTTTCTTGCACAATGTGTAACTGTAACATTACAGCCACACTACCATAGGCAGAACAGGGGTTTGCTTGTTGTTGAGCACAAAGCTATACAATAGGCTATCTGTTATACCCACTACAGGTATCAAAACCTAGAGTTTAGTGTTATAAACCTTCACACTTACCACTGATCTACTGGGGGAATAACAAATGTTATCTATTATGAATGACAAAAGAACAAAGATAGCTAGAAAAAATCATCTTAACGACTTTCTTGACTGAGAGTTTTGTGAAAACTGCACAATATCAGAAATAACTGACAATTTCAGAATAATAATAACATTAAAATAAGAAGGTAGCAATGCCTGGTATGTTTATATACCACAATCTCTTAGCCCAATTCCATAGGGTATTCCTAGTATTTTCTTGCATCTCTTATATGATCACTTGTTACTTAATCCAATTTTAAACCTTAATAGTCTTAATTTATAAAATTATACTTTGGATGTTAAGTAAATAATCTTCTTAAAACAAAATTATTTATTTCAGTAATAAAAATATAGTATATTTTTTTATCTAGACATAACAACTATGTATATGAATTGTATGACTTTAAACTTCATATATATTTTAGAGTTTATTCATTTAATTATCATATCATTTGAAATATTAATGCATTATAGAATGTTATGAAATATAAGTGGTAGACAGAAGTTATACATTGTTGATTAAAGTAAATGACTAAAGTAAATTTTTGTGGAATTTTACTGTATTCTTAGGTAAAGTATTTAAAAATTCTAGAACAGTATGCCTTTACTTAGATGTTATAATTAAAAAGAATATACCCATCTAAGTAGATGCTTAATCTTGCCCTTAGACTTGCACACGTGATCATTGGTATCAGATTAGTATATTAAATGAGCCATTGTTCATTTTACCATGATTTCTGGTATGTCAGACATTATACAGAAATAAATACACAGGAAAGGTTACTTCCCCTTTGTTAATGATAAAACTAGTGTTCTTTGTGTGTGATAAGGAATTGAATTTAAACAACAGTTTCAATTGAAAATACAGTCTCCATGCAGTAGAAAATCATCTTTCTCCTAGTACATAGCAAACCTATTTGGGTACAGTTGTCCCACTTTCCATTTCTAAATGAAATAAAGAGATGACAACTACTGTAAAGATTAGGTGTGGTATCTTAATATTTTTTTTCATGATATATTTCCTCAAATCAGATTTGACTCCTAGACCTCTCATACACTAGGTGAGAGCTCTACCAACTGAGTTAAAGGGTTACTCCCCTTCCCCCAGCAGTTATTAATAAGACATTTCTTAACAATTCAAACTATTACATTCTTCATCATTTACAAACAAAATTCTTCTTTGGGCCTAACTTCAGGGTCATGGGACAACCAGTAGTTGGACACCAATGTGGTAATTCATTTTTATAATATATGTATATATATATGGCACACTAGACAAATGCTCTACTAACTCATCTAAAAAGCTAACCCCCTAGCATTTGCTAGTAAGGCACTTTTTAACACTTCATACTTCATATTGTTACCATTAAGTGCTTTTATTTATTTCCAGATCCTATAACTGTGCCTATCTCTTTTTTGTAAATTTCCTCTAAATATCTTGTTATTGTGATTTTAATACTTATCTGTCAGTTTTTAGTTTTAACGAAGCTTTACCTTTAAAAATGCATAGAAATTGTGAAAATTCCTTGAATTATTTGAGAAAATATGTTTATCTCATTTTTTATTATTGAAGTGTCAATAATTTAGTCAAATAAGCAAAAGTTATTGTTCTTTAAATGAGAAGAATTTTGACTTACTAAGTTAAAGTTTTGTTATTTTAGATTGAAAAGAAACCAGTAACAACAGAAGTGGTAGAGAAGAAATATGATTTTATGGAAAAAACAGGACCAAGTAAGTGTAAATGCAATAAATATGCTTCAGAATAAGTAAATATTAATTAACACATGTTAACTAAAAAGAAATGCCTCTCTCTAATTGTTATAAATCTAGTTACTAGATGTATACAAAAATGAAACTTGATGATACAACATGAATTGTTTTATGTCAGTGATGGGTAGATACTGTTGCATCAAACATCGGATTAGAGTAACAACTATTAATGTGTTTTTGTTTTACAACTTGAGCTCAAATTTAGACATTTGTTTGTTTCTTTTTTTTGAAATTAATGTTTTGATTTGAATTCAAATTTCATCACAAAAAATATGGGAATTAATATTTTCTGATCTTTGAATTTTACATCGGTAAGATAATATTTAGAAATAAAAAGAAAACATAGTTCTGTGTTAGTATTATTTCTTGATATATATATGTTTTATTTATATGCAGTAATTTGTAATCACTCTGAATTACTTTGTATAGCTAAACCTGAGCATATCCAACATGCTGACCTTCATCTGTCAGATATTGCACAAGGCTTAGATCATGATTGGGTACAGTTAGCAGACCAACTTGATGTTCCTAAATCAGATGTAAATAACATCAAGAAAGAGCACCCCAATGACATGACCCAACAAGCTTTGGTGATGCTTCGATTATGGATCCATCGCTCATATCCCAAAGCAACAGGTAAAAATGAATTTTTTTACTACTTCATTCTAATAACTGATAAGCTCAAAACCATTATCCAAACATATGTTTAAAATAAAAAATATTGCTAGTTTGTAGGGCTGTGACAAAAGGTACATTTTGACCTTTCAATGTTCAAACCTTCATTCTGTAATGTGTTCTGAACTTTCAATAGTAATAATTGACATAACTTACTGATAACCATCACCATAGTATTATGTATTATTTTACAGGTAATCCATATAAATATAATAAAACATTCACTTATAGTTTTAAAATACATATTGTCTATGCATACCTACTTCAGGTGCAGTACATTACCTGTTCTCACATTTATAGCTATTTTCGTTCAGTGCTGCCCTCTATAGGCAAAATTGTTTTGCATGCCACAAGCTGTACCCCATGAACAACACGGTTCAACTGCATCTCACATGTAAATCATCATGCGACCAGAGGTGTTGGAAGCACAAATAGGCAGTGGGGGCAGCACTTTACTAAACCTTACAAATTATATTTAAATTATGCAGGAATTAGTTTGAATGCATGCTTTTACCTCCCCACACTGAAGATGGTATATGTACTTGTCAAAACGTTTGAAAATTAAATGTTTGTTACTGTACACACACATGTGATATGTTCATTGTTGCGGTTGTTCTACTGTTTATCATTACACTATGTATCTGTCAGGGTCTAAATTTCCTAAGGCTAAGAATAGACCTACATCAACTGAATCAAAAAGTAGGAATGACAAAGCAAATTATATTTCTGAAAAGTGCATTATGCTGCCCTGTGGCTCCAGTGCCATTACAAGTGACAATGCTCCACCAATAGGAGTACCACACACCCTCCTGATGCATGTGACTCCCTCTATTTGATTCTACTGAACTATCACTGCTCATTAGGTAGTGATCAAGTGCAGACGTTTTTTCAATTGTACTCTTTTCATGTGTTCATTTCATTTTTTGTGTGAAGTAGTGATTTACTTGATTTACTACAGTTAGTTTTCTGTAGTAATTTGTGGGAACAACTTACCTTTCTTTATTGATTTTTTTCTCATTTTTGACTTCTTCACAGTTTAAGTTGAATTCCAAAGTCTAGGTGTTTTACAACTTCTGATATTTTTATCACTACTTCAAGTGCCATTACACAGGCTTCAGGTCAAGGGGCTCGGCATGGCCAGGTGGCTAGGGAGCCTGTGACATCTGTGGGTCGCGGGTTCGATTCCCCATCCCATTAAACATGCTCGCTCTTTTAGCTGTGGGGGCATTATAATGTTATGGTCAGTCCCCCTATTCGTTGGTAAAAGAGTAGCCCAAGAGTTGGCGGTGGGTGGTGATGACTAGCTGCCTTCCCTCTAGTCTTACACTGCTAAATTATAGAAGGCTAGTGCAAATAGCCATCGTGTAGCTTTGTGCAAAATTCAAAACAAACAAACAATCAGGTCGAGGGGTCTAGACTGAGGATTTTTAACTATGATTTGTCAGGATATTGATCATTATAAGAGTTGTCCTTCTTCGTCCAAAAATTGTTTGGGATCCTCCTGTATCATCCAAACCTATTCCTAAGAAGGAATTTGACAGTATTTTTCCTCATCGTAACTATGCTGTCTTCCCATGCCTCTCCTATGTAATCTACTAGGCCTAACTCCGCCTTTTTGGATATGCTTTCAATTTTCACTGATTTCATATGATACTGTCCCTTCCTTGTTACATGACACCCATCTTTAAAGTAACTTATTTCCCTCCTTTCCCTGACATCAGGGTTCATGCCGAGCTTTTTGTTTCTCAGTCGAGGGCTGGTGTTAGTATGCCTCAGCCTCCATGGGGCTTATCGTCATTATGCTTTGGCTTATCAGCAGGTTGATTAATCCCCTCCCAGCAGGTCTCAGCAGTTGGAGTCGCTTGTGCCAATGTGTGTGTGTGTGGGTGGGGGGGGGGGGCTGTCCCTGTGAAATCTGTGAGACTACATTCTACCCCTTAGTCTTTGCTTGCTGGTTTGTCACATTCTTATACCATGCCCTCTCTCATAATTATTTTTTGTTCTGCAGCCTTCTGACCTTTACCAGTTCCCACCACTACGGGTTCAAAATTTGCCATGCGTCCTGATGTTGGATTCATTGTTGCCATCAGTTCCAGTGATTATCAGGTATTTTCCTGTTGAGTGGGGAGACGTTTGGCCAATTTTCTGGTGGGTATTCACTACCGATTCTTGGGTGATCCCAGTTTTGTCAGAAGAAATTGTCGTCCCTTCTCTTTCTCCATCTCTATTGTCTCCTGGAACAATTTTCTTCCCATTCACTTGTGATTCAACTACCAGTCTGTGTCTATCCAAGGCTGTGCAGACCCGTCTATCACAGCCTACCTTTTCCAGGTTTTTACTCCAGGCTTTTAGTTGTCCCCACAACAACTCAGGGGGATGGTGTCCTGTGTTCCATCTATCCTGCCTCAACTGATTTCTGGATCTTCCCCAATTTACCATGAAGTCCTTTATCACACTCAGGTGGGCTTTTTCATCAGGACTGTGGATGACCATGTTAGACTTCTCAAATGTCTATCGCAATTTTCCTATTTCTCATCAGTTCAGATGCTATCTTCAGTTTGTCCACTATGGGGTTGTATATCAGTTTCATGCATAGCCTTTTGAGCTTGATTTAGCACCATATGTATTTTATTGGGTGATCAAGGCCTTTGCTCGACTTATGCATGTTCAAGGGTTGAATTTACACCACTGCATGTATGACTGGCTCCTGTTATCTCATTCCGAATTGGAGTCTTCTCAACATACACATATGCTGCTGATAGATGCAGTTCATGTTGGTTGAAATCTCAAGTTGGAGAAGCCTTTCTTTTTGTGTACCCATTATCTTATCCAGTTGGGTGAATTTTTCGACACTCACCTCATTCGGGTCCAACCTTCGGGTCCCATTTGATGGAACTTTCAATTCCCCATGCACTTACTGCTCCCTGCATTTCTGCTCACGAGGTTCTGTCACTTTTGGGGACTTGTGCTTATCTGAAAGCCCTTATTTCTTTGGGTTGGGCACATATGCATTTTCTTCAGTGGACTCTTGCTCTGGAGCTCTTGGACTCCCAAATTACCCTTCCTCCTTCCCCTACAGATAACCTGCATTGATAGTTGAACAAGGACAACACAATGACAGGAGTACTGCTTCCTCCACCTCATCCGGATTTGCATCTGCTCACAGATGCTTCTATCCATGGTTGTGAAGTGTGTGTAAATTATCAGGAGGCTTCTGGACAATGGTCTCAAATCAAAATGTCTTACCATATCAACATCTAAGAGCTTCTGGTGGTATGACATGCTTTGGTTCATTTTCTTCCTCTGGTACTGAATCGCCACACCGTGCTCCATTCCGACAATTCCACTATTCTGGCTTATACCAACCACTGAGGGGGTACTCATTGCTGTTTCCTTTGTGGTCGAACATTAGAACATTAATTGGGCCCACATGCTGTGGATAAGTCTCCTTGTGTGTCATATTCCGGGTTCTTTTCACCTAGTGATGGATCATTTTTCAAGACCTGACAAGACCTTCTACCCCCCCCAAGTTGGGTTCATCAACTTAATCGATTGAAAGATTCATCCCTGTCTCTTTCTTCCCAAATTCTGTTCCAGGTGTCGTCGCATCAAATCAGGCACCATATTTTATTCATGGTGTCTCACTTTCACCATCCATTGGAAGAAATTCTTCAGTCAGGCATGTGGAAAACACCTTCCACTATCTTCACTGGGTAGCTGTGTCTTCCTCATTGGGGTACTGCCTTCAGCCTGCACCGTCCTTCAAACTTTGGTGCAGTTGTGACTGGTTAGTCATCTTTTCTATATATATGTATATATATATATATTTTTTTTTCCTTTCAGTGGCATGTCTGATTTAGAATTGGGATCACACTCAGTGGTGAGCTTTGCCTGTCCAGGTATGTTTCCTATCTCTCAGATCCGCACTATGCGGCCAAGATACATAACCAGGTTTTCTTTGCGATATCTTTGCTACATAAATATACCAGTTCCAGGCCGTAATAACCCATGGACTTTTATGGATAAAACAGAAGAGAATATAACTACCCATTTCTACCATCCCTTCAATTGAATAAATCAAGAGTGGTCTGCTTTTCAAAATAGGATTTTTCATGTTTACCTGTAGCACTATCTCTATTGTTGGGTTGCCTCCAGACTCTCCACTGCATTTTGTCCTCTCCTTGTTCTTATAGTGGAGTATGGGAGTCCTTGCCACCTTCCAGTTGGGCATTGGTGTTCTGCTGGTGTAGATGCTGTTTGATCTTCCAATCATGTGCCCCACCTCCATGTGGTGGTTCCCAGAGGTCGATGTTGTGCCCAGTTTCTGTGCAGTTCTATCTAGAGGGTGAGGTTGCTATATATTTGTAGAGGCGATCCATTTCCATGTGGTGGGACCCTGAAAGTGATGTTGCACTCCCACTTCTGTGCAGTCCTATCTGGAGGATAATGTTGATTGGGGCAATGTTTCTTCCTCTCAGGGAGTTTTCACTGCCTGAGGCTGATGTTGTGCAGTGGGGGTACCAGTCTGATTGAATTTGACTTTGATGTGCCACATTGGCACATCTCCTTCTACTGTGATTTAAATGTCAGGTTCACAGATGTATGGTTGGTTGTGAATTTGCACACATGTATCTGTTTTATAGATCGGTTTGCACAGTATGTACTTCCATTATACTTACCTTGAGGTGAAGATGGTGTGGACCGTCCTTCTACCACAGATAAGAGGTTATATTCCCAATATTGCTTGGTTCTGGACTGGAGTTAACCAGCCACATACAGTCCATTGTGCCCTAGCCACTCTACACCTTGGATCACATCAATTTAGCTTTTCCCACATTTCTATCTGTAGATGATTCTTCTACAGTCCTTCTTCTGTGGGATTGAGATTCCAGTATACTGTAGTTTGGATTTGAACCCACCCGGTTTTCTCTCCCTTTTTTGTAGTGCTTCTTCCACTTTCCACCTGTGTATGTGACATCTCTTTCCACACTGGGCACAGAGTATACCTGGTACAGAAGTGGTACAGGAACCCAGTATGTTCCTGTCCCAACAGGGATCACACTTAAAGGGTGTTTTTCAGACACTTTTGAAGTATATTTCTTTCTATCCCTCACACTGGTCTTTCTGGCTATTCAGTGTGGGATTCTAGATATACATGTGAGTGGAGGTAAAGTACTATATCAGAAGTTATTTTCCTATTATGAAACTATATTTCCGATAGGTACTTAACTTCTCTCACACTTCCAACCCTTCTTCCCCACTAAAAACTGGTGCTTCCTTTTCTGCCTAATCTCAAAGTGATAGTTTGGTAGAATCGAATAGAGAGAGTCATGTGTCTAGAGGGTGTGTTGCACTCCTATTAATGGAGGGTTGTCGCGTGATGACTTACATGTGAGATGCAGTTGAGTCACATTGATCTTGTGGTATGTGGGAGTTCAAGATATGTGGCATTGAAAACATTTTTGAATATAGAAGGCAGCACTGAACGAAAATAGCTATACATGTGAGTGAAGGTAAGTACCCATTGGAAATATATTTTCAGTATAAGAAAATAATAACTTAATACTGCTTGTGGTACTCATACTACAGTAAGTATATATTGCAGCCAATTAAAAGAACTGCAGCTGACTTAGGCAAAACAAAGCAGCAATGAACATCTCAGAGGTCTAAATTATAATTATTAGGGTTATCATATGTTTTACGTTTCATATTTATTCTACCATAACACTTCTTTTACAGCATCTTGTACATTAAGTATTCAGTACATATTTTATTGAAACAATGTTTTAATTTGCAAAATTCTTATTACTTGAACAACAGTTGTATTAAAATACACTACAAAATTGTTATACATAGCGATGTATAACAGTGTGCATGTAAGCAGAGTATTATACCAAAGCACTAGAGAGATACCTTCAGTATACCAGTTGTAATGAATTATGAATCTTCAAATGTTTAAAACTACACTTTAGAATTCTTGGCTAGTGAACCAACCTTCAAACACAGCCCTACTAGTTTGACATATAAAATAATGATGTAGCTTTTTAGATGGATATATTACTGTACACAAACAAGTCAGTGTTTTTACTTGATCAGTTGAGAAACTAGAAATTACTATAGCTTTATCTTTAATATATTCTCCTACTGTAAATTAAACATTGCATAGATGTAAAGGAAAAATAATTAGAAGTTATGCTAAATTTTCCTTTTATTCTAATGTTTAGTTGTTATATCTGGGTTTAATATTTAACCCCTTTTTTAAGGAAATAGCTTGGAAAAGGCTCTGAGAGAGATCAATAGAGAGGATATTGTCAACAGGTGCATGGTTAATGTGAAGGTTGTTACTGATGATGTAGAGAAGGCAGTAGCTAAAGTACATTTGGACCAGTCAGGTAAAGGTGTAGCTTTTAATTTCATATGTTATACCTGAAGTAAACAACTTTTAATTTAACAGACTATAATCAGTATTTTTCAGTGTGATGCAGTGGATCTGAATTTTAAGAAAGGAAGTGACTAAAATGCTAGTCAAACATCGAACAAGTCAGGTATAATCTAAAATACATCTTTCTAATATATATGTTAATTATACATAAAACCAATGCTTAAGAAATGTTTTGGATAAAGTTAGTACATATATTTTTACTTGTTTTCACTTCTACTTATACATACATTGAAAAAGTTCAGAAGGTAATTAGTAGTACATAATGATACTGTTTACTTTCTTTTTTAGTTACTTATAATATTTACAGGACATAAAACGTTTCAGGTACTTTTTGCACCGGTTTCAAGTATGAGAAAGGATGCCAAGTTGCTTTATCTCTCTTTTGTTCCAGAATAAGAGATAGTTCCTATGTCTCCAAACAGTGTCCTTTCTCTCTTTAGAAATTGGTGAAAAAAACAATAACAAATGGTTTTAATTGTGAGTTTCAAGTACATGAAAGAATGCTAAAATGCTGTATCTCTCTTTTGTTCCAGAATAAGAGATAATTCATGTTTCTTCAAATAGTGTCCTTTCTCTCTTTAGAAATTGGTGAAAAAACAACAAATGGTTTTAATTGTGAACTAATTTGGAGAGGTTAGAAAATTTTCTTTATAACTGGAATCTAAGTGTGAGTACCATTTTCTGTTCGTACTTGTATGTGCGTTTGGTGCAATGGAAGCTAATTTATTTTAAGGAAAAAAGTAAATGTCCCATCTTTATCTTTAATGCATTTAGACTTAATGGTATAATGTAAAATTTCTTCATCCCTTGCAGCAAGTGAAATTCTAGTAGAAGTGCTAAACTAATTCATGTACATAATAGTTCTTCTTCAGTATGTCTAAGATTGTATTTCTTTTTCTGTTGATCAAATTATTTTTATAGCTGTTCCATGCATTTAAAATTGCCATGCCCTTTGCAGCTATTGACAATGTTTTCAGTAAATGCTGGTTTAATGTAAGTTAAAACAATCTTTCCTATTTAATCATGTTTTTTTTCTATTTTTAATTATACTCTTGAAAACACTGTTAAAGAAAGTATCTATTTGATTAATGTAATTGTTATGAAATCAATTAAAAACTTGATTAATAATGTATTACGATGTATTATTGAGAAGTTGATGTACCATAAAAGCAAAACCTTAATTGCCATATCAACTTTTCAGTACCATATATTCCAGTCTGAACAATACCTCATAAGAGGTCTACTCAGTTTATCTATTTGTTGTGTTCTTTATTTCTTTTCTACACAGAATTTGATTCTTTCAAAGATGAACTTGGCTCCTCTAGGGATATCTCACTGAGACATGATACTACTCATGCTATGTGTTATGATGAACAGGACATAATGAAAGTACGTGTGTTACATATAATGATATATTTTTTTCTTATATTGAGTTGGTTCTTTTTAGCTGTAATTTTTTTATTCAAAGACTTTTGCTTGCTAGAGGCATGTACATTCGTTGAATTCTAATAGTATCTAAGTTAAAATTGGAGGCCTTTTTTCTACTGTCCAATTATTAGTAAAACAGAGAAGTAGTTTCTGTGTGTTACTAATAAGCTATTGTAATTTGACTTCATGTTATTAAATATTTTCAATTGCATTTTTCCGTTTTAACTCTTTCTCCATTGGAAATTAATGTGTTAAACAAACGAATAGCATTACTCAGAAATATGAAAACTCACCAATTCATCCAGAATGTTTAGATCTTGTATTACAAAAGCAGTTTAATACCACAAGCTTTAACTGATATGAAGGATGTTTGCATAATAAGAGCTTTATTTTGCCTAAGCTTTTAAATTGATTATGGTATTTCATTAACTTACAACAAGAAAATAATTTACTGATATGTGCATAAAAGAAAGATGTCAACCTATTCATTAATTTAAAAGATTGTTCATATTATGTGGATTTTGTCTCAAAACTAATTTAATCTTTCTTGATGATCATATCCAGTTGCAAAAATGTTCACAATTATGATGTCAGTTTTTATAGTGTTCTTATTTTGTGTATATGTTATTTAACGTTTGTGAAAAATTTAGTAATAATTCGTTAAACTGTTAAAGTTTGTTGGTGTTTAAAAATAATTTACAAAATTGATTGAAATGATCAGTTTCTTGATTGTACTGTTATGTTTACATATTAGCTTAGAAGCCAGTAATAAAACTTCAATTTTTTTAACCATGATTTTTAAACAAAAAGTTATTTATTAAATATTTATATAATTACTACTCATGAAAACGCAGCAGTATTTCAGACTCAAAATATTAAGATGTGTAGCATTCAATTTGAGTTTATATGATGTCATGCCTCAGTATATTTAACTATGTGTTTATGGTAAAAGAATTATATCTCAAAGTGTTGACATTATAATTATCACATCATTTGAAAGATGTGATTCAGAGAAATTACAATCATACCAGTTATGGTTTTGAATATAACTTTTTCAATAATTGTTTAGACTACCATTTGATATATTTTTGAAAAAAAAAGACTAAAATTAACTAACATAATGTAATATTTTCAACCAAAACCTAATTTGCAATCTTCTTGAAAAGTGATGAAGTCTTTGCAGTCTCTGTTCATACTGTTCAACAAAAAGTTAATTTGTACATTAGAACAACAAAAAGCCAAAGAAAAGTCAACGTTGTATAATTTTTTAGGAAAAGAACTAAAATACACAAGAATTCTGAAGATAAATGCAATTCTTTTTATTTATGGTGTTCAATGATTGCATAAAGTACTCTTTATTGGAAGTGTTGGAAATATACAGACAGTGAGAACATAGAAAATTCTATTTGGATATGATGAAAAATCCACTACAAAATAATAAATGAAAATACTTATACATCTTTTTCAACAAAAAGAAGATTACTCCCTACTATCCACAAATATGGGTCTCTTACAAAACTATTAATTTTCTACAATGCAGTATTAACAGAAATCATTTGTGCATGTCTTGACCAACATTTGTGGCCACTATTTGAATAGTTTTTTTCTATTAAATTAGTGACGAGGTATATTATTCACCTGCATTGAAAAAGTGAATAATGTGAAGACTCTTGGTGATGTTAATGTTTTCCATCTCATCATTTACTTCATGGCTTTATTGGACAAGTTATATTTCATCAAAGTGAAAGTTGAAAAATGTCTTGATATATTATATATATATATATATGGACATCAGTATAAGTGATCAACTAATTATCCTACATTGCATGTGCACTAAGTATTCAATACTTGAAGCTGTATAGAAGTTGAAGAGTACTTAAACAACATGAATTTTTCTCAGTGAAATATAAAACAGATACATATGTAAAGTCACATAATGCTCTAGAGGATGAAATTTTGGATTCAAGCACCATCATAATTCAGACGTTTTTACCTATAATCAAAATCATTTGATATCTTCTGCCAACATTCAGCACAAGTGGTGAAATGAAAGATAAATGAAGACTATTCATTGTAGTATTTTACCATTATCTTCTGCACTCAAAACCACTAATTGACTATTAAAATAGTGTCTACTTTTGTGTGTAAAATTACTGAATTTGTGGGAAATATCATACTAAGCTTAACCCTTTTTACGAGAAATGCCTGTTTTTGAGACATTAAATGAATAATACAACTTGTCTCAAAGATCAAAATGTATAGAAAAAGAGAAACAGAGCAAATACTCTGCTCATAGACATTTCTCAGATGTATAGGAGAGCCATAACATGGATGATCTGTTTCTCCTGTGGTCTTAAGATAACCAATAGAAAGCTAGTAAAATAGGTGTACAGGAGGTTGCTTGCATGGAAAAATTGAGTTGATGTTACTGAAGAGATGTAATTTGTATGTTAATGAAATTGTCAGACGTTCATAGTTAACTTATTTAAAGCTCAAATATATTATTGTCATATTTAGATTAGCAATATATGACTATATGTATGTGTAGAGAAATGTTATTTAGTTTGCTGTATAGTTATACAGAAAGTATTTTTTTGTCTTTGTCACATCTGTGGCTTTAATGAATATACAATCTGTTAATGTATTTAAGTATGGCATCTATTTTATGTTGATTCAAATTAGTTACCATTCATTGTAAAATGAAAAATATATTAAGAGTAATGTTTATTACATATACTGCATCATACATCTATTCAATGAATGATGTTTTATGTCTTTTGATTATTAGTTTTATATCTACATTCATGGTTTGTATGAAAAATAACATTGAAATCAAGGCAAAAGCTTATGCAAAGTAATTGTTTTTAAATTGATATACCTTATTAACTTCAATAAAATTATTTCAGTTAATTATTGTGAGAAATCCTCAAAAAACTAACCCAATAGAGAAAGAGTTAAAAAACAATTGTTTATAATTCTACTTGTTCTGGGAAAAACATACAGTGATAAATTCATAAAAATGTGTCACTGAAAAGGTTGTGTTAAAGAACCAGTTTTGTCCATTTAAGTACCAGTTGTTGAGATTATAAGTTAGAGGCAAGTTGTGAAGACACAGTTACTTTGTTTATATGTCTTATTTGAGTACGATTGTATAGGTTTAGAGGCATTAAATACGAGTTTTAGTGTAGTACAAAATACATGTAGTCATTCTGTAATGTTTTAACACTGGTTACCCATGAGCTAATTATGATAACAGAACAGTAGTTGAAGTTGTTTACATAAATATATTTAAGTACAAATTTTTTTTAAAAATACCAGTTACTTCATGAACAGTTTATCTGATTTAAGATGTTGTCAGCTTTAATAACTGGAGCTTATAGTTTTATGAAGTTTACTTGTGTTTGTATATACATATATATATAAAGGGTGTAGCCTGTACTACAGAGTGGGGAAATCTTTTTCCAAAACAAGTGTAGCACTTTTCTTCTATACAAAAATTTAAGTGATTTATGTGAAAGTGTTTATTTTAAATATATATATATATAATACTTTAAAAAGTGTTTAATCACAAAGGTTTCAGTGATCTCATCATGAGATAACATTGTTTTAATCTAGTTACTGGATTTCTTAGCTAGAATTTACATACATTTCCCTTTCTTCTAGGGCTAATAGTTAATGTGCAGTTAGAAAATTAAGAATGCTAGTGTTTTTCAGAGTTATTTATGAAAAAGGTGTACAACGATATACATTTTCTATGAATATGTAGCTGTGTATCAGTCAAACTCATATTAGCTTAATTATAATAATAATCAGTTAAATCATAGTACATTAGTAAATAAGTGTGTAGATTTTAGCATGCAAAATAAAGAAAGTCACAGATGTTATATAATAAAAAATAATTATAATTGAATAAGTGAACAATGTCTTGCTATATGTATACTGTACAACTATTGTACATTGCACTATTACTAATATTAGTAAAGGATAAATAGAGATTCAGAATCTTTAAACACTATATATTTTTCTATGCTGAAGTAAGCATACTTGCACATACTTTGGATTAACCTTGCAGCTACCAAACTCTTTTAGTCTTTCTTAGCCTAACGAGATCTTACATGTACCTCTTTCCTGATAATTTCTTCATGACAGAAGCTCGTATTGTTGGAGGTAGGTTGTGCACCATTACCCACTCTCTCTTTTACAACTGTACTTGTAGTCAAGGCACAAATCTTGAGAAAACTTGGAGAATTTTTTGGATATGGATGCTTGAAAACAATTTATGCTGCTAAATACATTTTTATATAAAGTAGATGTTTTAGATTCTTTATAGGTTGAGGGACAACTTCCATTTTTACATAACATTTCTTTCACTTTGCATTCATGATTTTCCATTACTATTCTATAAGGCCTAATTCTAATAAGTTTTGTTTGTATTGATATATCTTTTAAGTATTTCAAGAAAAATATAGAATTTAGTGAAAAACAACTGCTGTGATGTGGTTTACATACTCCGTACCAGATATGTCCAAAAATTAATTTACTCTAACATTGTGAAAATTAAGAAAAAACATGGTGTAACATACTAAAATTTATTACTCAGCTTTCATTGAATTTTGTATTTATTCCTTAGGTTATACTACTTTTGCTGAAGCCCAGGAATTTTGTTAGCAATTTTCATGTTAATTATAGCTTTATAAGAATTCTTGATATACTGAAATTCACACTGTAGAAGTGTATAAGTTATGACACCAAACTGTAATTATCAGGATGGGAGTTTTCCATATCGAACTTAAGCCCTAGTAGCTCAGATGGTAAAAGCATTGGCATCAGTGTTCTAACCATAGCAATACACATAAAGGGTTTGGACAGAATAATGGAAACGCCTAATTTTTTAAAATACAATTTTGTCTTTAAGAGGGGAAAATGTAACCATATCGTAGCTTAACTCTGCATTTAATTATTATGTATCATTGAATTTGAGTGTAATCGAATACATGTTATTGTTTTTTTTTACAAAAAGTTTCAAAAAATCTTTAACTAAAAAGATCTATCAGGTTTCAAAAGTCATTGTTCTAGGTGAATGTCTGCCTTGACTCTCAGAAACACAAACACCTAAAAGTAATGAATATATCCAGATGAACAGCATCAAAAGTGATGCCAGTATAAGTATCAAAATATAAAATCACATCAGGCAAATGTAATAGCGGTCAAAAAACAAAGTTGAATAGTGAGATGAAAACAAAAGACTATAACATCAAAATTGTATACAGAACTCAATATTAGTCTACATCAGTCAAACTCTTTCAAAACATTCAAAGAAAACTGCAAAAGATGGGTTATCATGTTAAAGGTAGCATTCAAAAACCTCTAATAACACAAAAAAATGAAAAGCCTGAGTGAAATGTTGTCAAGAACATAAAAATTAGACCGAATATCAATGGAAGAATGTGTTTGAACAGATGAATCATCTTTTACAATTTTCCCATAAAATGGAAATGTTTATATGTGATGAAATCTAAAAGAAGCTCAAATCCATAAATGTCTTCTGTCATCAGTTAAGCATGGTAAAGGCTCTGTGACAGTATGGGCAACTTTCTTTTGGAATAGTTTAGAGTCTCTGATCTTAAGGAAAGGTCAAGTGGCAGAAAATGGTTATTAAACTTTATTGCAGACCAAATTCACCCTGTGGTGAACATTTTATTCTCAAGCAAAGTTAATCGTTTCAGGAAGATAATAAGATAATGCACCAACTCATACTCCCAAAATTGGTTCAAAGATTACAAGAGTTTGAGCACCTAACTTGACTACCACAGTCACTGAATTTAAATGTTATCGAACCTCTAATTCAAAGGTCAATTGTTGAAATTAATCCTTGAAGCAGATTTCTTTTGCCAATATCACTTCAACAGTTATAAGCTTTCTTCAACAAATGATCAAAAATATAATATTATGATGTATAACACCTTGTTTCATCAATTTCACATTGTGGTAATGCTGTGTTATCTGCTTATAGAGAACGAATTCCATATAAGTAAATAAAATGTAGAAAGTAACAGGTGTTTCCATTATATTTTATCCAAATCCTCTAGATATATATATATATATATTACATAAAATATGTACGTTTTCTTGTGTTAAAATAGTTTTAAAGTACTTTTATCGGTCTTTACAATTGCATATGTTAATAAACCTTATGATATACATAACCATTACAATTCCAAGTTTTCTCATTCATTAATATATTTCCTTCTTTTCCCATCTTTCTGGCATAAGTTGAGTTTGGTGACTGCATTTTGATTCACCATCGATATAGAGGAAAGCAGAAAAGAAAAAGCATTACTTTTTGTTTTAGCTTTTTTATTACTCATTTTGGCATGTAGGCTGTTAACTTAAGACTGCATTGTCATGTGACTTCTTTGTATATATATACACTCATTAGAAGCTTATTTACTCTGCTACTTTGTTTGCTAATATCCTTGACCAGCCTGAGTAGTGAATAATGTTTTAAGAATTTTTATAGTAAATAATGAAACAAAAATATATTAGTACCACAATCGATCTGGTATAAATGACTATTGGTATCTTAGAAGGATGATATTATGGATATTTCTTCTCCGTGACATTTTCGATATTTTCCATAAAAACTGGTGTTTCACAGAAAACTGAGCAATGAATGACCTACTACTTGTGTTACCCTGTTATATCAAAGCTCCTGAACTATAATGTATGTGTTTTATTTTACTGACTTTTTTAAAGGGAGAAATTTGATTAATATTATCATGATAAAATAACAACAGAAGTGAAAACATATTTATTCTAATTATTTCTGAAAATATATTTTCATTACTGAAATCCATGAAAGGAAAAGATTAAGGTTGGATAAGTAATGAGTAAAACACCATATATGAGCAAATAAAATTAAATAAAATGTTCAAAAGTTGTAAAATAACATGAACATATGATACATGTTTCTCTAGCTTGAGATATATGAAAGCTTGTATGTATGATACTTACACAATTGTTACTTCATATGTTGAATTACAGATGCAAATTGTACAGTATTATTTACATATTTACACTGTTGAGTATTCCTTTAGATTCAATTGTTAAGATATACCTTATAAAAACTTGCTCATTATTTTCATTTAAAAATCATTGGCAACATTTACCTTGTTTTGCAAAGCTTAAAGATTATTCTCATAATGTAGTCCACATATGCTATAATCTTTCCCTGCCAGTAACAGAATAGTGTTTGATAAATACTAGAGCATTTTGTTTTTATTTATTTATTTTTACACTAAAAATAACTGTATAAAATAAAGTTTCTGTCTCTTTTTTACTTTTATTAACTGGGCCTTGCTTCAAGCATTGTGCATATCTGTATTTAAAAAAAAATGTATCTTGATTTGAAATACATTTTAATAAAATATTTGATATGGTTATATAAATACATTTTTACAACATTTAAGAAAAATATTATTAAATACTGCTTTTCCTAATGCACTAGATGTGGCTTGTGAAGCTAACATTCTGTTGAATTTTTGTTTTCTTAGTGCATTTTTGGAATGGATAGCTGATATTTTTATTTTTTCAAAAGCACTCTTACAGCATTTTGTTTTATATTGCTATACAGATGTAATAAAGCTTTTATATAATTTAGTGTATAAGCTGTCAGTAGTCTGTCATAGTTATTTTGAAGTTAAGTCAAAAGAGGTTGTAAGGACTAAGAAGCATTCAATGGTACAAAACCCCACAGGAAGCAGAATCAGCTGAGGAAATAAGCAGCAAATCTGGCTCTGCCCATGAAAATCAGCTGCCTGTAATAGTAAAGAAGAAACAAGAAGAAGGTAAGTGTTTTACTCATGTTTCTTTGCATTATATGTCTTTACTAACATAAACTCTGGCTGATAGACTCTCAGCTTAGAAATGTTTGAATTATTTTAAAATAAACCAATAGTTAATGTTAGAATATCAAATGTTTATAAACGTCGTTGTTTATAAGACCTCTAGCCAGTTGTTTTTATTGTATTATAACTTGGCAGTTGAAAATATGAGTTCATCAAAGCAGATGATGCTGAAAGATTTAAAAATATTTATATAAAGATTGTTTTTATTATTTTATGTTCAAAATTAATACTGATATATTTGAATATTAATTTTAAGTCAGTTCCTACATTAATCATTTATTAGTATGAATCATTGTGTTAAAACTGTAACCTATGAAGTCAACATAATCTACATGTGTATTGCAATTATGCAGTTGTTCTTGTGTTTTCTAGTGTCACATTTAAATGCAGCTTCACAATATAAAATCAATTAAAAGAGAGATACAGAGAAAATATTTGCAAGTGTTTTGATGATCTAGTCATAAAACACAAAAATAGCTATCTGAATGTAGCATTTATGTATGCTTGCTCATTGCTTTCTGTCACACATTTTGTTCTATTAAGTTTGCACTGTGGTCTTGATACAATACATATCAGCGCTTTTGTTGAAAGTTAATTTTTAAGTAGAATAAATTCCTGACTTTTAGCACATGACTGAATATAATTTTTAACAGGAAAGAAAAATCTAATATTTTTAATCATACCTCTAAAAATCTTAATACGATAGATATTTTTATAACCTATTAACATTCGATTATGTATCTTAAGCAGCTTTTCTGTGACTTCTACATTTGCTAGATGAGTGTGTGCTTTTATTTTTTATTGAATTTTTTATTGTATGCTCTTGTAATGATAATTTGGAATTTATTCTTTTGGTGTAATTTAGATAACATATGCATGACATTTTTTTGTAGAGTTCCTTTCTGTGCATATTTACTGCTTGCATTGGTAAATTTTCCTTATTTGATGTTTTTTTTTATAATGGCACATGTAATACATGTTGCATATTACTTTTTAATAGACTAGTGTTTTAACATATGCCTTTGCTCATGCTTGATAATGAAGCTGTGATTGTGCTTCCACTGCAGCAGTATTGAACCTTCATTATTACTTCAGGTACATAGTTCGTCATCAAAGTTAGATGAATACATTTAAAATAGCTGGAATTTTTGTCCAACAATCAATGGAACTTTTCAATTCTCAGTTGACCAACAACAACATGTACCTCGAAAACAAATTGACAAACTTCTGAAGGATGAAGTGAATGTTGAACTGTCTGTAAAATTGACACCTCAGAAGGTAATGGAACAGGAGGAAAAGAAGAACATTATCATGAAACACAGCATTAAACAAGATCCTCTATCAAAATTTCCAGAAATACAGAAAAAAGGTAGAGGATTAGAAAGACTAGGAAAAGATGTTGAAGTTGAAGTGGAGAGATTATTTTTTGAAGAACTCGAAAAGCCTGTAAGTTGTCTTGAAGAAATCAAACTTATTGATGAAAAACGTGTACCATTGGAGAGATCTGGGAAACAAGATTTAAAAATAGATGAAATAAGTCAAAAGTGGGATAAACCAAAAAAACCTGAGGAAGACTTGGGAGAAGAAGAACTCTCACTTTTGAAAATGCAAGAAAATTTAAAAGAAAAAACAACGAAAGAAGACAAATTCATTCATGAATATGAGAATTTTGTTGAAAAATTTGAACTAGAAGAAAAGTTGGAAAAACTGGAAAAAGAAGAACAAACACTTAAGGTAGAACCAAAAATCAAACCCCAGATTGAGCTAGAGACTCTTATAAAGAAAACAAAACTGGTAGAAGAAAATACAGAAAATAATAAATTTCAGGAATTAAATAAATCAAATAAAATTGCATCAGAAATTGAATCTTATAAATCTGCTATACAAAGCCAAGAATTTGAAGAACAAAAGCCAAAAGAATTACTTAAAACAGTAATAACTGAAGTTGAAAATGTAGATGCACTTAAACTTGTTGTGGAAAGCTTCGAAGAAAAAAATAAAATGTTTGAGAAATTAGAAGTAGAAGTTAAATCTGTCAATAAACCTGAGCAATACATACAAACAGAAACAGTAGGAGAAAAAATGTTTGAAGAAACATTAGAAACTAAAACCAAACCTGTGGAAATTGGTAAAGAAACAACAGAACAAGAAAACAAGTTTAAAGATTTAGTACAACCAAAAGACATACTCACAGAAGTGAAAGAGAAAAAACTTGAAAATAAAGAATTAACAGAAAAAACATTAACATATATGTGTAAATTCCCTGTAACAAAAGAAGAAAATGAAGAATGGAAATTGAAAAAGGAGTTAGAAAATTCAGGAACAATAAAACATGTAGTGAAACCTACACATGAAAAAACAGAAGTGGATGACCAGGTATTTATGGAAGTTGAAAGAGCAGAAAAAGAAAGAAGTGTTTATGAAATTGAATCTGTTCTAGAAAACTTAAACATGGAGTATTCAAAAGAAATCAAAGCTGTGATTGAATCTAAAGATTTTATAGACATAAATGTAAAAAAGCAGAAATTTGAAGATTTGGAAAGATCAAAGAAAACCATAAATCTGGTGAAATCTGAACCTCTTATACAAATGTCAGAAATAAAAAAACAAAGCTTTGAAGAAATCATAAAACAAGAACTAGTGAAGATTCCTGTTGAACAGAAATCTCCTGTAGAATCATCAGAATCACAAGATCAATTACTTGAAGAATTAGAAAATCCAGAAGTTATCTGTGAGCATGTAATTGAACTAAAGGTGGAAGAGCGGACACAAAAAAGTTTTGAAAGGCCAGAAATAAGGTCTATAGTTGAACTAGTACCTGTTATAGAACAACCAGAAGTAAAAAAGCAAATACTTGTTGAATCAAGAAGAACAACAGATAATGATTTTAAAGTTGTGATAAAAACTGAAGATGCTGTAGAAAGGCCAGACGTAGAAGATCAAAAACTTGAAGAAGTAGTTATGCAAATGTGTAAAGTGAAACCTGTATCTGAACCAGTGTCTATTCCAGATATCAGAACTTTTGACTCAAACAGTTTGATTACAGAACAAGCTGAAGAGAAAACCTTTTCATTGTTAGATGGACCTGAGAAAGATTTAAAACTCATGCCATCAGATGGGCCCACAACAGAAGGTATTTTTTGTATTTTCTTGTGTAGTGTGAAATTGTGAATGTTAACATCGTAAATTTTCATGTTGTATGTTAATGCATGTACCCTTGTAATACAAATACAGTATTGGTGCTAATTGAGAAATACATATACTATAACGTTAAGATTTCATGCAGCTACTAGTAACAAGTAAGCGTAGAGTCTGTCCTC